GGGGGAAAGTAGGGGGAGATCAGGGGGAGATCGGGGGAAAGTCGGGCGAGATAGTGGGGGGCCGTCAGGGGGGAGTCAAAGCTGCGCGATTGGTGTCGGACTTGGGGGGAGTTGCACGATGGTGGGGGGGAAGTCGGAGTTGGGGGGAGTTGCGAACCCCTTCTCACTGCAGGAGAGAAGGCCGACCAGCAAGAGAGAGAGAGAGAGAGAGAGAGAGAGAGAGAGAGAGAGAGAGTCTCAGTGCAGGAGGGAAGGCTGACCGATCAACCAACCAGACACAATTTCCAATATGCCAGAAGTGCGAAGAGAGAGAGAGAGAGAGAGAGAGAGAGATTGACCTTGTTGGCTGGCGGCGTTGTCAACGAGCGTCGCTGGAGCGGTGAGAGTCCTGGCGGCTGCTGCTCACGGTGGKGGCTCCAAGCAGTGGCTTYGCTMGAGATGGCTGCAAGCAGTGGCTTCGGCGGCGATGGATCCAGGCAGTGGCTTCGAATAGAGGAGTCACTCGTGAAGCTGGCAGCAGCGGCTGGCGGGAGTTTCGAAAAGGCCGACTTCAAAATCGACCCGCCAACGCCCAGGACCCGTCCTGGGCAGCCCCCTTTTTTTTTTTGAATTTCTGACCACGGGCCCTGTTCCAGACAGTTCCGACCGGACACCGGACCGGTACATTTTGCTACGGACTGTCTGGAAGCCCGTCCGGACGTCCGGTCGGTAGCCATGTTTTTGACCCTTCCTTTTTTTTTTAATGAAAACACCCACCCTCCTGTGCTAGTAGTGCTGGTACGAGCAGGCACTACTAGAGCCAGGGGGGGTGGCTCCATCTATTGGTGGGGAGCTTCACCTGCTGGACAGCGGGTCCAGCGTCCCATATACAAGAAATTCAGATAGCTGAGAACGGCCCCCCAGCATTCCCTCCCACCTTCTCTCCCTCCCTCCCTCCCTCCCTCTCTCCATCCCTCCATCCCTCCCTCCCTCCTCCCCTCCTCACTCCCTCCCTCCTTCCCTCAATCCGCCTCCTTCTCTGCCTCCTGCCCTCCCTCTCCGTCCATCGAGCCAGTTGTCACTGGTAAGATTTTCAAACGTTGTCTTTTCGATGGCTCATGGAATTGTGAGGCATTTTTTTCTTTCCTTTTTTGAAGAAAAGGACTCGGGACAGTGGACCTGGTGAAGGATCAAAGAGAAGAGTCTCAAATAAATAATAATGGTACGGTTCGCGGGTGGGAATACGGGCTTGCACGATTCGCTCTTGCACTCTGGTATATAGAATCACGTCATCACCCCCTGCCGGCTGAAACTGACAAACTGTCTGCATGTTGTGGTAATGTGTTTTCACCTATGCAGCTGGCGAGAGCATACTTTGCTCTGCTCGATGTGCTTTGTCATAATCACACAACGGTGATCGTGAACCTTGACGCCAACACATTTGCACGCATTGTTTCATCACTGGAGGCTGGTATAAAGAGCCTGGATGTTAGCATATCGTCCGAGGTAGGCCCCTTTTTCATCTTCGTCCTCTTCGCCTCTGCTGTCGGTCGACAGAATGGGCACTCACTCTTTCTCTTCCTCCTCCTGTGTCACTCGTGCGCTAGGGTTTTTTCCTTTTGGACCATTTCTCAATTTATGTGTGTCATGCTTGCCCAGGGGTCATGCTACTCTCT